TGTGTGTGTGTGTGTGTGTGTGTGTGTGTGTGTGTGTGTGTGTGTGTGTGTGTGTGTGTGTGTGTGTGTGTGTGTGTGTGTGTGTGTGTGTGTGTGTGTTTTCAGCTTGAGGATACTGACTCTCCAGCAGATGTTCCTGAAGAGATTGAAGACAATACAACTGCATCACAGGTAACACTCTTTACTTTAGGTGTATAGCAGTGGTTATTTGGATATTCTTTATTTGTCTCCAGTTTTCTTCACAGTATACTGTATGTGTTTTTCCAGTTGGAGGAGCTGATCAAGGAAGTGCAGGTGCTCAGAGAGGAGCTGAGGAGCCGAGACAAGACCATCGCTCAGCTCACATTGCAGAGCCAACAGTTACAACATCAGCGGGAACCAATGGTGAGTTGTTGTGTTCAGGACTGATACAAGTGAAAAGCCTGAAAAGGGAAATGCATTCTATGTCAGATGGAGAAATGATTACATTAATTTGAGTAATACATTGTCGTCCTGTCTTTTATTTTGGACTATGACAGACATTAAACACAGAGTAGGGCACGTAAATCCAAAACACTTCTACAAGTGCTGAATCATCAAACCATCTGGAGGCGAAAGTCTGACAAGATCTGCACACTGTACTCATAGCTCCGAGCCTGACAAAGATCTCTGTTGGATCAGAATGTTGCTCTGATAAATTACATTTGCTGGGAGCTATCTGTAAGGCGTGCAGATACTATTTTGTCTGGAATTATCACTGATAGTATAGACAGTTGACAGTTTTTTATCTTGTTACAGTTTGTGAGTTATTTCTGCTGATGGGTTTCTGTTATATTTATGTTTGAAAGTACTACAGTTTTTAAAAACAGGTCATTAGCGAGATTAGAAACAGACAAGATTATCGCAGAGAGATTCTGCAAATGCAACCCTCACTCCTTAGACCATTGGCTTGCCAAATAAAAAAGAAATGACAATATTGGATGCATAAGGGTGCAAATATATACATATATGATTATTATTATGGAGCTCTAGTGAAGGGAACATACTGTATCAGGACCCTCTTTATGTTAAGATGCAGCTGTTATTAGGGTTGCAAAGGGCGGAACATTTCCGGTAAATTTCCGGAAAGTTTCCATGGGAAGTTAAGCTGGGGAATTTAGAAAATATTCGATGCAAAATTAAACAAAAAACATGACATTTCAACAGATTTTTTTATTTATTATAATTTTTTTTTAAGTAGAACAGAACAAGTTTTAATTATTTTATTGAACAATTATTTGTTTCATTGAAGAACGAAAACAGGAATGTTGAGTTAAATATTACTTAACCCTACTCATTGAAAAATGAACAAAAATGCACCCCCCATCCAAAAATTCCCACAAAGTCCCATTTAAAATGAAAAGATGTGGCTTCATTTGTCTTGTGCTTTGGGCTCAAAAGTGTGATCCAGTCTTCTCGAAATCATCCGTGCATGTGATGGAGGAATGCACAGTGCCTGTAGGGGGTGTGGTCTCAATAGCCATGCAGTGGCAGTGTGCTATGGCATGGATATTCAAGTGTACTTGAATGGCATCTGTTTGTTTTAGTCAAGATTATGCTAAAATATACTTTCCCCAACTATATTTAAGTTCCCTATGAAGAGTCAACCTTCAATTTAGAAAATTCCAAGTTTATTCCCATAAATTCCCGTTTATTCCCATGGAAAGTTTCCATCTTTGAAAAATCCCAGAATTTTGTAACCCTATTATACATGTTCAAAGTATACTCTTTGAAAGAAACTCTACATGACATATGAACTAAGGTGACGCTCATCACTGACAAGTAAATGATCAAGGCTCATACACCGAAAATCAATTTAGGTTCATCTTCCGTGTAGTGGTACAGTACATAGAGGCGTTTGTTCCTGGAGCACGTTCACACAGGGCTGTAATCCTGCTCATGTCTGCTGATTGCTTTCATGTAGCCATCATGCCCTGCAAGCATGTAGCTTCTAGTCTGGTATTCCATCACCCTGACACCACTTCTCTTCAGTCTTGAAATGTCTGGGCTCAGCCTTCAATCTTTTTTTTTACATCAATACCAGATTTTATAAAGATATAAAAAGGAGAAGAAATAGCGTTTGTACAGACATCATCACCTTGTGCTTTGTGGCACTTTGAGGGATTGAGGAAAACACACAGTTTAAAAGGCTTGTGATAGATGAACGGATCCACCATTCAGCTCTCTAGTGGTCTCTGAAGACATACTGTGGTACCCTTTACTGCAGGTTGGAGTTCATTTCTCTGCTCCCTTATGCACTCCAGTGTGTCTACTCACGCACTCTAGACTGTGTTTCAATAACCTCCATTCTGTTCGCTTTAAGCTGGCTCCATCTCCACTCCAACATTCATTAGTGTCTTGGCCAGAATCGCTTGTTAGCCTTACAACCGTATGCCTGGCTGACATTATTCAAATCCCTGTCGTATAGAGAAATACCATAATGTCAAAGCAGGGTCTGTTCTCCAGCCTCCCTGCCGCATACTGTGCCTCCAATTAGAATGATCACCCACCCACTGCAGGTTCTTCATCTGAGCACAACATTGTTGCACCCTCACCTCACAACAAGCAAAATGAAAAGGACATTTTCAGATCTGTGTCTGACATTAATGAGAGTGGAGGCTGTGAGAGGGAAGATGTTGTAAGAAGATAAGAGGGAAACTGAGGTGTTTACTCTGCTGCCTCTGTTTGGAAGCACTATGTGGGCATCCAAGGTTATGTTCGAAGAATTCTGAAGCTGGTTTGTGTTCACACAGCCTCTGTTGTCCCTTCAGGACAACATTGAACAACGATGCTTTTCTCCTTGAAATTGGTTTTAAGACAGTATAGCGGTTACTTAAGAGTGAGGGAGTCGAAGTGTTACAGAGAAAACTGAGAGAAAAGTTGACTGAATTGAACATAATGGACTGATTATAAAACAATAGAGAAGGTGTGTGTGTGTGTGTGTGTGTGTGTGTGTGTGTGTGGCAGCCAGAAGAAAGTCTGTTGCACTCTCTGTGTGTGTGTGTAGAGCTGGGAGGAGTGAAAATGAAATAATGTGATAAATAAAAGTGGAACCATCACAGACAGAAAACTGATTTCTCAGTCTGACTTGATGGAATGCAGTTTTGGAAGCTGCTTCCACCGCTGTTGAGGCAGCCTGCTCATGATTATGCACACTTTTTTTTTCTTTGAGCTGCATTGCAGATTTCAAAAAGGCTGGTGAAATCTAGCCATTTCTGTCAGATTCTGATGTCGTCCTTGCAGCCAAGTACATATTCCTCTGCTATTCATTAACGCATAAGGTATAATATGAGATTTAGTGCTTACTTCTTACAGAAATAGGTAAAGCACATCATTGCTCTGGTATTTGTTTTCATATTGGATGGTGCTTATAATTCATAAGGCTGATAAAGAGCCTATATTGAGATAAGATAGTCAAAGCGGTTTAACAGATGAAAAAGGAGGTGCTTAAAGTAAATGTTAGGGTGAGTTTCATTTACTGAAGGATCTTTAAATTACCATGTAAGGGTACCCACTTACAACCAGTGCTTATTTTTCATATGTCAGTAATAATACATAATGTTTGATAACCTTCTGACTCACTGACTTTTTCCACATTCGATGTGAAGAAGGGAAGATGCACTAATTTTTTAAATGTCATCCGTTTTATTTGTAGAAAAAAAAAATTAGTTTGAAGAAAATATTGCACATTCTTTATTTATTTTTCGTCTGTTTGTTCATGTTATTGTATCTGATATTTCACAACTAACTACTACGACCACTACACCAGTGGTGTAGTGGTCGTTGGACGCGGGGAATTATGATTCGTCATCACGCTTGTGACCCCAGGGTGACACCACCAGCTAACTAAAGTAGGACTAAGCATACCGGTAGTTCCTGTTGACCTGTCTGCCCGTTTTGTGCACTTGCGGCCTTGTTTGGGATGACCTAATTAAAATAGCGTCCACCCAGTAAAAAAATCCCCACTACACCACTGCTCGCCACAGTATCATTCCGGAAAAGGTTATACATTAACTGTTGATGCCGAATGCCAAATACTAAATCCAAGAAATTAATTATCTCTTTCTTTCTTTTTAAATGATATTCAAGCATCCAAGTCAATTTCTATTGAACTTATTGTTTAAAAGTTTAATTGAGGTGGTGCTAATTGCACTGATTGCACATGATTTGCCCTGCATAGTGACTTGCTTAGTGCCAGCATTAATGTAGTAAGTAGAACATCTGGCCCAGGTTAAAATAAGTCAATAAATACAGCTTCCGGATATTGGTTAATAAGCTTTCTTTCATTCATTCAATTATTCTTACTCCCTCAGCCTGCACAGGGGCGGTCGGTCAGATGTCAGTGTCACCACCAGAGGGCGCCCTCTTCACTACGACAGGGAGAGAGACAGATGGACAGGCGGACGCAGCATCACTATGACAAAGCCACGCAGACCTACTGGAGACCACAGAGCCAAGCTGTGAGTCCAAACATCCACTGCACGCATGACAGCACTCCTGAAGTGCTCACAACTGTGTAATATTGCTGATATCTGAAACTGGTCAACAATGAAATGCGTGTGTTTCAACAAAGATCTTTATACCATTTCATATCAGCACTTTGGGATACTCTGGTGACTTAGTACATGTGTCACTCCGCTTGAGTCACTCAACCAGTTTATCTACTGCTTCTCTCAGGCCAGCCATGTCTGAAAACGAGTACACCATGTCCCCTCTATGGAATACAGTTTATTACGATGTCAATGTGCTTGTTGTGACCCTATCACACACTCGTTTCACCCAGATCTCACTCTAAACAGGGCGTTGTGAAGCTGGTGTTTAACTTCAGTTACTGAGGAAGAGAGGATGTAGAGTTAAAGGATGGAAAGAAAAAAGACAGATTAAAGGAAGTAGGAATTTAGACAGAGAGATAGCTAGGTGGAAGATGGGCGGATTAGATATGTGTGCAATGTGTTCAGTATCATGCCACTATAGCATGCTGTGTGGCAGCCAACTATTGATTCAATAGCAGGAGTGCCACAGGCAGGGTGCCTAGTAAACACTCCCCTAATTGACCTGCTCTCATCACACACACACACACACACACACACACACACACACACACACACACACACACACACACACACACACACACAATAGCAAAGGCAGAAATAAGAATTTTAAGGACATTACTTTGAGTAAATAATGTATTACACCAGATTTTCAGTCTTATCTGTTTAATTGTAGAAATGAGACCTAGAGTGTATTATGTATATTTTATTATGTACAGAGTAAATAAATAAAAACAAGCTCACTAACCAAAATACTGTATGTCCCTGCTTACCACAAGAGCATATTATGGTTTAACAGTTGCTATGGTAACCATCAAAGAAGGACTAGCTGTGCTCTATGGGATGTATCTCGATGATGGGAACATCTACCTGTGACCTGTAGTGCCTGGTGTATAATAACACGCTAAAACACAGCCAGATGGAGTGCATTATTTTCCCTCTATTCTTTCTACTCTGGTTTTTCTGATATGTTTGTTTTCTTTTCCACCATCCTCTCTTTTCTCTCCCTTTTAATCTACATTACTTTTCCTCACCAGAGTGGAGAATGCGTGTTGCCACGCTGTGGGCACACACACAGTTATGTTAGTGGCATTTTATTTTTCAGAGAATACAATCCCTCGTAAAGGTTAGCAGCAAGTTCTTTGTTGTGATTTTTCGACAAGGTTACAACAAGAGAGAACAGAGAGTAAACACATATTGTAGCAAAAGGGATTGTTTCTTTTTCTGTTAGTTTTTACTATTGGATGGTATCAAAGCTTTTTGGTATAGCACTGACATTTTTAGCACCTTCAGCAAGCCTGGGTTCACAGTCTTCCTCAAACAAAACTTCACTTCCACCTCTCCTGTTTTTCATACAATCTTTCAAAGTTTTCTTTTAGGGAGTCTGTTTCTTTAGCTATTCTCTTTGTAACCCTTGCCATTTTTAGATAACTATTGTATTCTTTTCCAACTCTTGCACATTCATTGTTTCCTTATTTCACTTTTCAGTTCTTCTCCTCCAACACACACAAGCAGACATTCATAATCCACTGTCGTATTTATAGTTTTTTCTCTCTTAACTCTGAAATGCCCTTTCCTGTTGATTTTCTGCTCCTTTGACATTTAAAGTGCCGCTTTAACCGAGCACTGGAGTAGCTTTTGCCCTCAGATAGTACTTTTTGAGTGCTAAGCTGAAGAGATCAGCCTAGAATATTGTTGATGTCAAAGGACAGCAGCTATAATCTTTTTATAGCTTTCTGTTGCCTTATCAGTGGCTCACTGTGCACCCTGGTTCTCGGAGGTCTGGAAGTGAGTGAAACATGGATTTAGGAGAAATCTGTCTTTGCTTAGAGCTCAGATTAAGAGTATAACAGCTTTTGGTCTTCACCCTTTTGACATGGCTGTTTGAGGACATTTATTTTTCAGTCTACAGTATTCATGCGGCATCTTCAAGCAGTTGATATATTTATTTCTCGGACATTGTCGGCTTTAGCTCCGTAGGCTGCTTTAACCAATGTCACTGTTTGAGATGAACTCGTTTCCTGACTTCTTCAGTCTGTAGGATGGCTTTGGCAACACGTCCTAACCAACCGCTTTGGGCACCAGCTCCCGCAGCTTCTCATTTCAATCTGCTTACAATCCAAGTTTGAGTTCAAAAGCAGGCTCAGGAGGAAAAAAAGTCTCACAATATGGCACGAGTATTATGTCTGTCGATTTTCAAGAGGCAGAGAAGTAGCGGACACACAGAAACAGCAAGACGCTTGTATCTGGTGTGACATTAGAAACTAGTTAAATGTCACCTGTAAAAAAACTAACATTTTGAATAGCTCCCCAGAGCAATCACAGCAGGATAAACGTTTCTGCGCCTCCTCTGCTTTTCAAGAAAACAATGAACTCGAGCGGTATTATTTTTGGGAACTTCAGTTGTAGCACAATAGAAATTTAGCAGCCTTGTATTTGTGTGTGTTTTTGTTCTGAGAGACACTGTGTGTGTGTGTGTGTGTGTGTGTGTGTGTGTGTGTGTGTGTGTGTGTGTGTGTGTGTGTGTGTGTGTGCCACTTGTATCTCTAGTACTGAAGTGCGGGACACATTCACTGTGACTTAACAATGAGTTCAGCAGACTGAGCCGACCTTGTAAATAACCCAGATAAACAAACACCAGATGAACAGCAGCAGTGAAACAAACAATGGCAACACAATAGGCAGTGTTTCATCAGTGGCAGACATAGAAGATAATTACAGCTACCTTCCTACTCCCTCTGTGCCTTTTAAACATCCTCTTCTTCACCTCTTCATCCCCTCTCACACCACCCTTCATGTCTTTTTATCGCTCCTGCTCTCACTCTGTTATGTTTTGCTTTTCCCTCTTGTCTTGCTTCATTGATTTCTTTCCATCCCTGTATTTTCGTCTTCTGTCATTCCTTCTCTGACGTTAGCTCTCTACTTCTTTGCTGTAATTAGATCCATTTGCTGTCACACAGAGTGAGGGGGGGGGAGGTGAGGTGAGGGAGAGGCGTGAGGATTGAACAGGGTTCACTGATCAGCGCTAAGCTGCTGGCTGAAAGAACAAGTTTTTCCCTCTCAGATCCTGACATTACCTCTCCACCCACATCTGCCCCTTGCACCACAGACACACCACCACAAATGAACTCACTTACACATGCACGCTTATTAATGCACGAGGCACAGCAGAGTCACGTTGGACAGGTGAGGATTTAATTGCCAAAGTCTGTGAAGTGAGACGTTACGGCCAGACCTGGGGTTAGCGAACCAGGAGGAAGTCTGTGTAGTGGATTAGGGGATTAGCATCATGGCTTCTTCTAAATATGGCTGTTATTTGATGAAAAGGTTGTTGAGTCACAAAGAAGATTATTTTACTTTAGTTGAGAATGCTTGTCCTACTTTGCCAAGTTTTGCCATCTGCTTTTGGGAATCTGCACAGGCAACCTAGCTTAACAAATCACTATGAGATAAGCCTCTAGTGAACATAGCTTTACACCCATTACTTATATGGTATTATTGTGCTGAGGAGAATTACATTTAAAAAAGAAAAACTTCTGTATTCAACCTCGCCAAGGAGGTTATGTTTTGGTTCTGTCTGTATGTCTGTTTGTCAACAGGATGACTAATGGCCCCTTTTTAGTGGAATGGTGTAGCATTGACCAAGGAAGAACCCATTCAATATTTGAGTGGATCCGAATCGTGGGTCCATGCATTATTATTATATTTCGTTAACATCGCAAGAAAGGGCATTTGGCCTTGGCTGAGGTTCACTGGCAAGAGCCACTAGGCATCTAACTCTGTACTGGTAGGGGAGATATGAAAGAAGTTTTGATTAACTGGATGGAATATGAAAAACTTTCAATGTCTGTCTCTCTGCCCTTGTCTGTCAGCCCTTCATTGAAGAGTCTTTACAGCAATGGAAAACTGTAAAAGTTGACAGGCCTTGCTGCTGCAGAGTTCTAATAATGCTGCCAGACATTGTCAGAATTGTTCAAGAGTCCTCCAACAACCCTTTCTTTTTCTCATAGCCTGAGGTTTTCCTGCCTGCGAATAAAGCCTCTGCAGGAGACTTCTGCACAGACCTCCTGCCGAAGCAGTTGTTGGATTTCAAGGAAGAACATGGATATCGAGAACAAATCCGGGGGACTTGTTACCCCCCTCTATAGCAGACACACCAGGAGTGCTCTGAAAAAGCTTATACCGGAATTGCTGGGAAGTTGCCACTGCTGCTTCCCTTTCTAGTCCTCTGTCCCTCTCTTTCTCTTCTGACAGATTCACTGCCTCTCTTTTCTATATAAGTGCCTTAAATGGGTTCCGGCCCTTTTCACAATTGAGAAAATAAGTAGCGCTTCATAAGGTTATAGTCGGTCTGTCTCTCCTTCACATGATGGCCCTGCTGCCCTTTCACTTTGCCTCTCCCGACGGGGGCCACGTCTTTGAATTGCTTCACCTGAAGATGTGGAATCAATAAAAGGGCTTGTGTTATTTCAGGTACTGATTTGAAGCTTAGATGTGGGAAAAACTAAATGTTTGGAAGACAGAATGACTGAGAATAGAACATATGGGCATTAATTGCGTTAAGAAATATAATATTTATTAAAAAAACTGTCAAAATGATACACACTCACACTGTGCCTCAGGTACTGTAGATGCTGTATTTGTCCTAGTGATTAATACCTATGGATTTGCCACTTTGTGTAACTAACTACAGTTGTGTGTTTGACTTGGGAGAGATTTTGGGACTATGATAGTGTTGCAACCAAAACGTTATAGAAATGAAGTAGAGATAAAAAATGAAGTTTGCAGATTGTCTGGGCAAGAAGGACATGTCTTTGTGCTTTTATTTCTTTGGGCAGATTTTGTGACGACCTTAGCATTGTAACCATGCCCGATTTATTCGTGAAACTTCACAGATGTTCAGTTGAGAT